TCCTTTTTTAGAAACCTAGAACAAAAGAGAATATATAACCTCTTTAGCTAACCTATTTCCATCTCTACGAACTTTCTTTGATGAGAGTTGTTCCTTGGGCCCGAGTTTTGCCATTCCCAGTAAAGCCATTTAAAAAAATTCTATCCTTGATAGAGGCAAAAGTGAGTAAATTTTTCTTTGCAATATAGGCAGTAGGTGTGTACACTTATACGGCTTCCCTCGTGGCTCAGAGAGTAAAGAATCCGCCTGCAGTGCTGGAGACTTGGGTTCACTTCTGGGTTGGGAAGATCCCCTGGAGGAGGGCATGGCAACTCACTCCAGTATTCTTGCCTGGAGAATCTCCATGGACAGAGGAGCCTGGTGGGCTACAGTCCATGGGGTGGCAGAGAGGAGGAAAAGACTGAGCGACTAAGCACACAGCAAATATACATGCACACCTATGTCAATAATAACTATCTCATGCTCATTATTTAACATAATGAATCTATTAAAGTCATTGATTTAGCCATCATTAGGCATGTAAAAAAAGAAAAGATGGAGCTAAAACTCTTTGTCTGACATTGTAAAAGGCAATTCTTATCTTTTCTAGAGTTATAGATGTCATTTTTGAATAGAGTTATTCATGAGGACCAATTCACTTAGGATTAAAGGGTATATTCCACAGAAGACATTGGATCTTTGATGTTCAAATCTCTTATTTTTTATTTTTTTTTACTGACAGTCTCACAAGGACATTATTTATGGCTGAAAAAAGAAAGATTTATTTCTTATAAACGTTTTCACCAATGACTTTATCTAAAAAGTTTCTTTTTAAAGAGCTGTACTGGTGAACATTTTGCTTTTGTACCTACATCAGTAGCTCTTTCCTCTCTGATCTTGCAACAGTCAAAATTCCACTTGTTAGAACAGAATCAGAAAGTTCAAGGCCTAAAGAAATCTAACACTGAATAAAAGAATATAGAAAATAACAGATTTTAAAAAGAAGGGACTATAAAGCATATAATACTCTGCTTCAACAATTATAATAGGTTTCTTAGGGGAAAGCAGAGAAACAAGAGGATTCATCTGCGTGTTTGCATAATAAGAGTTAAACAATAAAGGTAGGCAAATATTATGGACTTTGTGTTGACAGTTAAAAGCAACTACAGTGTACAAAAATTTGATGTTACAGAAACAGACTCATAGACATAGAAAACAAACTTACAGTCACCAAAGGGGAAAGGGGGTGGGAGAGGGATAAATTAGGAATCTGAGATTAGCAGATACTAACTACTATATATAAAATAAACAGACAACAAAGTCTTACTGTATAACACATTGAATATCTTTCAATAAACAATAGTGGAAAAGAATATGAGTATGTATATATGTAAAACTGAATCACTTTGCTGTACACCAGAACCAACACAACATTGTAAATCAACTACACTTCAAAAAAAATTGCCGCTCCAAAACTTTGCTTAAAGAAAATCATTTTATTGGATTTATTCTACTGACCTGTCGTCCCAATAAACTTCATTGTAAGCACATAATTTAGTACAAGGTAGAAATCTAAGCTCCTTAGTACTGAAATAGATCCTGTCAAGTGTTTGAAGGTTTTGAATGCAATGAAAACATGTATCAGAATTTCAACAGCTTATTCTAACATCATTACCATTATTTACTACATCACCACCACAACCATCATGTATTTATTGAATACCCAGAGTGAGTTGATTATACTTAGCATATGGAAGTCTATTCCTAGGAATTTCAATTTAAGAAATTAAAAGCAAACAGAAAGCCCTTGACAGAGGATTTGAGTCAGGGAGGACCTGGGGAGAAGAACACTGCAAGATGCTGCAAAACTTGTGTTCAAAAACACTGAGGAAGGCCAGGAAGAAAAGACGGTCTTCTATAGTGAGAAGGAAAATATCCAATACGCAAATGACTGTGACTCTAGGAGCTCCTGTCCTTCTTCTGTGGCTGGATCTCTTTGTTGGCTGCCTTGGGAGACTTATAAGAACAACAAAATCCAAGGAAGGAATTTTAAAGGGGGGTCAAAAATAAAGGAAGGGAAAATCACTGAAAAACAAGAACTTGCAGAAAGTTGAGGGAACTATTTTGAGGAGATTCCAGGGAAACTCAGCCTTCCAAGGAGAATTTTTTTTCATGTGCCTCTTTCATTTTATTTTGTTCTGTTGCCTCACATGGTTGTCGCTGGTGTAATTTCAAATGAAAACAAAACAAAAATAAACAAACAAAAAACATCCTCATTGAACAGCGGTGCAGAGTCTGGGGAAGTCTTGCAGCTGGTTTTCAAGAGCCCTTAATGCGAACCCTTAAGTGGTACTTCCCTTGATGATGTTACCTTGGTTACAGACACACACAATCCAGCTCACATACACTCATTTCAGCAGTGCCTTATGGGCAACATACATGAGGGATCAAACTGTCAGATAGAGTACTTGGTAAAGAAAATTAGGTGCTGTACTGTGGAGAATTTCCACTCAATTTACTGATAACCTGACCAAGGACACCACAATGCTCAGATCCTTATTGCAAAGACTCACTTTTGGGTGGTATTTAAATGGATATTGTCCACTTCTGGCTCTTGGGGTTGGTTATCCAGTTCTTCATGTGACCAGATCCTGACACAGAGGTTTTTATCAATCAGAACCAGGTGATGACCTGATACAGCAAATATGATCAGATAAAATACAGTTAAATTTGAATTTTGGATAAACAAACCATTTTAGCAAAAGTATGTTCCAAATATAGAATGGAGGTTCTCTATTTTAATTGACTAAGTCTGGCAACCCCAAAACTGTCTTCCTGAGCTTCCTTTCTTGTTATCTTGATTGGTGTTTTGGGTATTGCCAAACTCTTTTAATGTACACATACAATTTCTTGCTTTACTAGTAAAAGACTAACAACATTCATTGTATGTGGATTTACTGATTAGAATGTAACTTTCCCTGATTTATAGTTTGTGTGTGTGCTGGAGTGGAAGAAAGGATCTTATTATCACTGCCACATACCCACAGCAGCTGTTGAGATAAATTGCATTCATCAGAGTTGTTTAACGCAATACAAACCATTGACGGGAGGCTAAAGGAGAGTGTAAATGGGTTCCAATAAAATCACTGTAAAGTAGATGAAATAATTTGTATCAAGGAAAAGGTGAATAGGAATTCTACTATGGGAGAAGGGTAATTTTGGAGAATGGAAAACTTTGAGAACAAGGCAGCCTAGGAAGCAGAGTTCTGCAGCAGGGACTTAAGAAAATCACAGGTGTTTTAGAAAAACACTAGGATGCTTCAGAGTGATGCAGAAAGGGAGCCAGAAAGATGTCAGAGAAACTGAATATTTCAAGTTTGTGTGTACGGCTGGCTCTCCCTGCATGGGGAGCTGGATTCCCTTTCTTCTCCTTGCTTCTCCTATTCTCCTCGATTCTTTGGTCCACCTGATTGATTTTTTTTATTAGTACTATTATTTAACTGCATTTGGATAAATAGAATCAATTTTGTGGTCCAGCTGAGAATCTCACCATATAACATTATTTTTATGAGATTGGGTCTGAATTTCAGACAGCTGACATAAAAACAAAATGTTAAAACACTTCCTGGTCAGACTGCATGTGTAGCTTATCCACCCGGTGGGTCTTGAATCCAGGCAGAAGGCCTGGTCACACAGTATAATATATTATATTGTATGACACTGAATACATATCAAGAACAGATCTTACAGATTCAATTCAATCACGTTAAAGAACTCTTTGACTACCTTTCCGGAAATACAAACAAAATACTTTAAAGGAAGGTGGAATAGGGAAGACAGTGCAGAGTTGTGCAGTGCTAGATATGGAGGTCAAAGGTGCAAGACCTTCCTCTGACTTCTGGACGTTTACAAATAACTACAAAATGAACTAAGCTATTACAAAGCAGAGAGCTAATAAGCAGAAGAGATGATTCATGTGGATTGCAAACATAAAGTGCTGTGAGGGTTCTTTTAGAATGGCTTTTGGATTCCCGACACCTCCTTCTATCCAATATTAGGAATATCAGATAAAGGAAACTGAGTCCTTCAGAAACTCAAGAAGGTAAGTCATGAATTCCCGGGGCCCACGTCAGCCATCCAGCCTTGGGCAGGTTCACGGCCTCAACTCCCTCCTTTGTGAAGTGGGGTTTACCAACATCTATCTTTTAGGGTTACTGAGGAGATTATTAACAAAAGCCGATTCCCTTGCGGCTCAGCGGAAAAGAATCTGCCTGCCGATGAAGGAGACGCAGGTTGGTTCCCTGGGTCGGGGAGATCCCCTGGAGAAGGAAATGGCAACCCACTCCAGGAGAATTCTCTCCTGGAGAATTCCATAGACAGAGGAACCTGGTGGTCTACAGTCCATGGTGTCACAGAGTCAGACACGACTTAGCGACTAAAGAAGTACAAATAGTGAGGCTCCTAGCATTGCGCCTGGCAGAAGTACGGGCTCAATAAACCGTACTTATTACTATTTATCTGACTGAGAAAGGAACACTTGGTGTGGTACGGGCTCAATAAACCGTACTTATTACTATTTATCTGACTGAGAAAGGAACACTTGGTGTGGGGCCACTGTACTGGTTCCTACTTATGGGCACGGCTAAGAGACCAAAACCGGAGTTTTCACCAGGAACAACCTGCGGCCTCGGACTTGCGCCCCTCGCCCGAACCAAGGGCCAGAGAAATTCAGGCTCTTTTACAGAAAACACTGCCCTGGTCTCTTCTCTGGAGGGAATAAGGAAGAACTGCCGCGAAAGCCCAGACAGCGAAGAGAGGCAGAAAGGCTGGGTGTCTCAAAGGGGTCTCGGGAGCCCGGACGCGGGTAAGACCCGCCCCCGCGGCTCGGCCCCCGGCGCCCGAGCGGAGGCGGGGAAGTGGGCGCGGAGGGGCGTCGGGCGACGGCTCGGGTTGTCCGTGCCCGCCGAGCCGGGGCGGGCGCATCTTCTTGCCGCCCAATCCCCAGCCTTAGTCGCGGCCTCATGAATAAGCAACAAAGCGAAGCGCCCTCCCCCTGGCGTCCCAGACAGCGGAGGGAGCCGCCGCCGCTGCAGGGGCCGCCGCGGGGATGCCGAGCGCGGACGCCGCCGCTCTCTTCTGCGCGCTGCTCTGCTGAAGGTTCACAGGTGAGGACGGGCTCGGCTTCCGCCACTCGGGCGGCCCCGGCTGCAGACGGGGCGGCCGGCAGAGACGGAGCCGGAGTCCCTGGCGGCACGGGGCCGCCCTGGGAGCTGTGCGGTCGGAGGAGCTCGGCAGCCCGGGGCGCGCCAAGCGTGCGCCCCGCGCCGCCGCCAGAACGCGGTGCCCCGGCTCGGGGTGCGCGGGGGCAGCTCAGAGAGCGTGGGGCGCGGCGCGCAGGCCTCCGAGGACTAGCCTTACTCCTCGCTTCAGCCCAGCCTCACGGCTCCGCACCAGCGAGCGGGCCTTTGTGCTGCCGGAGCTTGCAGGGCTGGCTGCTTTTGTGTGGGCTTTTCTTTCTTTTCTCCCTCCCCTCTCAGTCTCACAGCGGTGGTAGAGAAGTTCCCGAAGACTCAGATCTGCTCCTTTGAAAGCTTTGATTGCAGTGTCCCTGACGCCAGTCAGTGGTCAGCAGCCGAGGAGCGAGTGGGGGCTGCAGTGGTCACCGAAGTGTGTTACTTTGCAGAGAACAAACAGTTGAGTGTTTAGCGCAGGGATGTCACAGAACCTCCTTGCTCAGACCCTGACCGGTCCCCCAGGACACGGCAAGAGGATGGTCCTTGGAAAGGTCACTTGATTGGAAAGAGGGCCTGCGGGTTAGACTCCAGAATTATTGTAAGGTGCTGCCTGGAGGCGCCCAGATGTCTCCTGTGCGTCCGGGTCACTGACGGAACCCGACTTGCGTACATTCCGAACGGGTAGAGCCTGGCTGGCGGAAAATCTGCCAGGCGCTCAAAATATAGGACCCACAGGAGTTTGGAGTTCTCAAAGATAAGAAATCTTTGCCTTCCCAAGCTGATGCCAAGGATCGGCCAGGATCTTGGATCCTCATTTTAGTGTAGAGCTGCTGTGAAGGAGAGGATTTAAAGGCTGATTTAAGAGTCTGCCTTCTTTCTATGGAAGTTTGCAACTTAAGGGAATGGGGGAGTGGCTCACAAGACCATCCAAAAAACTCGGAAGGATTTTTTCCGTAGGGAGCAAAATGTGTGGCCAGAATTTGCACGTCTCCCCTCCTTTGTGAATTTTCTTGATCACAAGTGATACTATTGGGCTCCAAGGAGTCTTGTTTAAACACCTACAGAGTCAGTCGCTGACCCACTTTCTCCTTACTTACCGGCAGAATCCCACTGTAGCATCTATTGGAAGAAACTCAAAACTAGGTGAGATTTCACAGTATCAGAACATTTAAACACAGTAGAAATTTAAGGGTAGCCTGACTTACTCTTATGCATGAGGTACAGTTGTTATATTTGTCATATTAATGAACCAAGCACTTATGCAACGGACTTGATATTGATTGTGTTTATTCACAAAACTCCCAAGACTCAGCAAGTCTAAGGTAGCTGCAGCAACAGAGCCAATTAAGAAGATGTGGATGTCTTTGTTTTCACAGGAGGTTCTTAATATATTCGGCATTTCCTGCTAGACCTTTCAATATCATAATTTGGTTTTACAGAAGTAATTTGATGCTAAACATAAGTATAGGATCAAAATGTGGAGGATGGGCTTACCTGTTATGGAAAATTTCTACTCATTAACTAAAGGTGGTCTTCACTATTTATTCTGCAGGTGTTTGCCTGAAAACTTGTGTAAGGAATTTTTTTTTTTTCATTGAATTCTGTTTAGTCTCACTTTGGGAAGCTGGCTATTCAGAGAGAATAATCTGAGTTTGCTCTCTGTAAAATGAAAGCTTACTCTCTAATTAAGATGTGTAGTCAGTCCTGTTTTTTCACGTAGTGTTTACTTGGTGATTATAAGAAAAGTATCTGAATCAAGTTTCAGCTTGAAATGTTAGATATTTTGTTTATTCCTTGAAATGTCTACCTGGGGATTATTTTCTCCTGCCAGCCAGTATTTAGAGATCTTTTTAAGCAAATGAGGTTTGTGAACTACAAAGAACAGAAATGAAGTGTCACATTGGCTTGCTGAAAGGAACTGTATAATGGATGGACAGGAGCTTGTTGAACAAGATTGATTAGGATGGAATTCTGCAGACATCAGACAATTCCCAGGTCACTTTGTCTACCTGAAAAGTTGAAAGGGGAAGCTCCATGGAAATAGCTTGAGGGGAAAAGGGTGTTATGGACCTTTCAGACTGCTCACATTTCTGTATTTTGAGGAGAGTGCCTGGTAGTACCGCAAAGATTGAAGGCAGGAGGAGATGGGGACTTCAGAGGATGAGATGGTTGGATGACATCACCAACTCAATGGACATGAGTTTGAGCAAACTCTGGGAGATGGTGAAGGACTGGGAAGCCTAGTGTGGTGCAGTCCATGACGCTGCAGAGAGTCAGACAGGACTGAGCGACTGATCAACAACGATACATCTTAAATTGCTTGATACGTAAACATTTTTTTTCAAACCATTTTTATGTCTGTTATCACCGATTTGTTCCCTCTTCCATCTTTTAAGAAAACAGAATGAACATTATTATCTCCATTTGCAAAGAGGAAACTGAGTTTCGGTGATTTGCCCAAGGTAGAGCTGGAAGTCGAAGCCAACTTTTAAACCTTTAAGTCCAGCTTCTTTTACCAGGAATAGGGTGATGCTCTAGAGTGATACACACCGCTATCTTCCTTTGTCTATATTGCTAAATTGTAGAGAATAAAGCTTGTGGGCTTGATGTGTAGAACTTAGTTGTGGTCTGCAGGAATGGTAAAGCACTTTGCTGGCAGTTGCCAGAGTAACCATCTCGACCCCAGCCTACTTACCTCTTCCCTGTCAGCCCGATGCCTCTTTCCTCCTGTGAGTTACTTTGTGGTTACTCTGTTCTCTCTCCTTCTACTGTGGTTGAACATGCTACTGAAAGGATCATCTGTCATCCCAGCCACTTAATTTATAGTGAAGGATGAGTGGGGTCAGATCATCTTAAAGCTAATAAATCAGGCCAGTAACAGTCACCCAAAGCGCAGTAAATCAGAGATGGGGTACCTTAATGCTGTGTGCCACACAGCTGGGTTAATAGGGTCAGAGTCTTGATAAGCTCCACTTGAGACCAACGGAACAGTGCTGGCAATGAGAACCTTAACAATTAAAGGAAAGTAAGACAATGACAACTAATCATTAAGAAGCAGGAAAAACACAAAATGGAGATCTTAAGACAAAGAAGGGGAAGAGGTTTCTTCTTCCATTATCAATCAGAGGGTCACTGTTACTTAATTGGATTTTGAAAGGTGAAGGGGTAATTGGGAAGCAAGTTGACCTGAAGCTCTGAAACTTATTCCTCTGTGATCTCTCTGTCTCTTTTTAATGAAATAAACTCTGAAAAAGCCTGAAGTACAGGAGAAATGAGAATACACAAATTACTATTGTTATTAAAATCACACATTGAATAAGCAGCCAAAATTGACTAGGTGATGAACAAAACATAAGCCATGAAATGTTATTGAAAATCTTACAGTGTTAAAGAGAGATTCCGAAGCTTCTTTTTCACATTCTTAAATGGTTATTCCTGATAACTCAGTTGGTAGAGAATCTGCCTGCAATGCAGGAGACCCCAGTTCGATTCCTGGGTTGGGAAGATTCACTGGAGAAGGGATAGGCTACCCACTCCTGTATTCTTGGACTTCCCTTGTGGCTCAGCTGGTAAAGAATCCACCTGCAATGCCGGAGACCTGGGTTTGATCCCTGGGTTGGGAAGATCCCCTGGAGACAGGAAAGGCTACCCTCTCCAGTATTCTGGCCTGGAGAATTCCATGGACTCTATAGTCCATGGGGTCCCAAAGAGTCAGACACGACTGAGTGACTTTCACTTTCAAATGGTTATTTATATTCACTTCACACCACTAAACATTGAATACCTCTCCCATGTGTTCTACCATTATTAGCAATTATGTGGCAGAGGAAGCTGAAAGACTAGTGTTTTCATGCACAGAAGGTAACCTTATTTGAGGTGACGAGACTTAACACATATGATGATTTATGCTGGAGAAGCTGGGGGGCAGGAAGAGAATGGACCAGGCAGTTTTGTGATAACAGTCAGTAAATAGGACATGACCTGGTGGACCATGGATTGGATACCAGGGGTAGGGAAGAAGGAGAGAGCATTCTGGCTAGTGCAGTGTTAGGAAGCTGAAATGAGCAAGGCACATGAGAGGGCAATATATCCAACTGGCAATGGGTTTGTACTGGGCACTGATGATATGAAGTTATAGATTTGGAGGTTGGCAGTTATATGTTTGGGAACATTAAATGATGTGTTTGGGGAAGGTAGAGTTGTAGTCGCAAAGACAGGAAACTTGATGACTGACAGACATGATTACACAGGTAAGTTAATTAACCTCTGTAAGCTGGTAGTTTTCTCACCAAAAAAAAAGAGAGAGAGAGAGAGAAGGATGATAATGCCTGTATCATTAGGTTGTTGTAAAGGATTAAATAAAATAATTTATATAAGACACTTAAAACACTTGGCATCCCTGAATGGTAGCCATGCCATTTTTGATTGATTATTGTCATTTCTTTCCTTAAGACTAAACCATCTAGATAGTATAAAATGGGTTTGAGAGGAGAGAATCTGATCAGGATAATAAATTAAGAAGCAGATAAAATAATGACAATCCAGTGTTCCCAACAAGGTACAATTCCAAGAGATATTATGAGGGAAGGACCTGCAGAAATTGTAAATCTAGAAAGTATAGGAGAGAAGAGTTCAAGATGACACCACAGTTTAGATGAAGATAAGTGTGTTTGAAGTAGCACCCAAGTAACAACCAGGAGACGATGGAAATCAAGGGCAGTTTTTTTCCCCAAAACTCCACCCCAGATATTTATGGTATTTGTGTTTATCCTGCAAAAAGAAAATATCAGGCGGTCTCCAGTTTGTTTTATTTTTTGGCATACTCTACAGGCCTCCTGTGTCTTGAGTACCCTTAGGGCAGTGCTCATGTTCCTTATATATTATACATGAAACTCAATTTGCTTTGAAAAAATTAGCTTTGTCACTGATGAAATGATTGAACACACTGGTTCCCTTTTGTGTCTGTGTTTCGGTAACACTGAACAACAGCCGCATACTGTTAGGTTGGAAAACTATTGACCAAATGTTTGAAAACACCTGATTAGTAAGTCTAACAAGATGGTTAAGGCTGTATTTTTTTATGTTGTCTTTCATTTGTCTTTGAAACTTGAATATGCCTAGACTTGACAAAGAGATTCTGGACTGTATCTATTTAAGATTGTCGAAGATAATGCTTGACAGAACAGCTTATCTGCTCACTGGTGGCAGAAATGCAGTAAATTGTTCAGAGGACAACCTTGATAGCGAATGACAGACGAAGTGCTGTTACTGGCTCAGAAAAGGATGCTTTTTGAGCTATTAGAAGCTAATATCCACTATTAGTGAGCAACTGGGTTAGAGTTCATGTATCTGAATTAATTTGCACTGATGGATAGAGTGAAAAGAGAGGAGCCTCCAAAGTCACAGTGTGAAAGGAAAAGTCAGAGAAATCTTTTGTTTTATTTGTTAAATATTCTGATATTTGAGTTAATTTAAAATAATTAAGACATAATTTCTAATAAGCAGTGAAATCTCTCTCTCCTTCAGCAAAGAGGGCTATAGACATTGATTTGTTTGTTCAGCCAGTATTTACTAAGCATTTCCTCTGTGCCAGGCACTTTGCCAGGGAATGGAGGCAATGTCGAGGAAAAAAAGAAAAGACCTATAGCCTTTAAAATGTCATTACAGATGGTTACTTAGGTTTGGAAATATTGTCACTGAAATTGACAACAGTCAGTCTTTCCTTATTTATTCTCTACCATCATGCAGCTCCCAGTGAAGGACTCCAAACTCATGGGGGTGGCTATGTGAACCTGTGCTGTGCTTGGAAAGACAGAGAAAGATCTGGAACTTGAAGGTCATCTACCAATTTATCTGAGTTGCAGATGTGTTCCCTACTGCTGTTCCAACAGGCTGTCTTTTCTGCCCCTCTTAAAGTTCAGGCGTCACTTTGAATAGTAGGGAGAAGGAGCATATGGCTGCAATACACAGACATAGAATAGGCATGCAGTTCACCCCACTTTTTCCTGTTGTAATTGAATTTAGAAAGCAGGTGGCTGACACTTAATAACAGAAGGAAGGTCTTTTAGAGCCATGGCAGAATTCCCTTCACACAAAAATTCTAAAGCTAAGGTCTAGATGAAAATGAAACCTTGAAGGAAAAATCTGTTTTGGAAAGGCAATAGAGATTATATTACATCTTTTTTGTTTGTCCCTTCCACCCTCCAAATCTGATTTGTTAATAAAATTCTCCTCTCAGTCCACATGACTGCAGAACATGTGAATAAAATGTGAAGCATTCATACAATCATTTGGGTGCCCTGCTTGCTTGATGAAAAAGTTGTGGGAATATGAAAATATTTGCATTTTTCTTGTGTGTTTTACAGATAAAATAAGAAAATGGAATCTTGGAGATAGAGGGATTTCAAAGATTTTTTTTTTTTAACTCCTTGTTCTGTCAAAGGAGAGACTGAGGGTATTTGTCGAGTGTCACATGGCATGTTTTATCAACAATAAAGCTATGATTCATTTTTCTCATGCCAGTCTATGTCCTTCTAAACTCTGCTGCTGGGAATTCCCTGGTGATCCAGTGGTTAGGACTCCGTGCTTTTGTTGATTGCAGGAGGTACAGGTTCGTTCTCTAGTCAGAGAACTAAGTAAGGTCCCACATGCTGTGCCATGGAGACCCAGCTTTTAGGCCACATTGTCAGTCTCCTGATGTAATATTTCATTGAATTGAAAAAATATTTGTTTAGAAAAGAGCAGATCTCTGAACAGGTCACACATGAACCAGAGAGTTCTATAGCTTTTATGTATCTTTGACTATATAATTTATAGTTCAGCCTGTATGTTCAGAAATTAAAGGTGTAGTGTCATCAGCTGTGAGCACTCTTGTTTTACAGCTATCATATGTTTTTGTTTTAAGAAAGGAAAATAGAGGCCACAGGCCAAATACTGCTACCAGTCCTGCTACCTGGCTATGAACTGGGCTGCATTATGGCTCATCTGAAGTATGGGGATAACTAATTCCCGGAATATTCACATGCTATTCCCTCTTTTAAAAATATCTTTCCCAGATTCTTTCCATTTAAAACAATGTGTTTAAACAATGTATGCTACCTGTATGTAATTTAATATTTTAATATAAGTGCTTCAACCCCTCATCCTACAGATGAGGAGATTTAGCATCCCCTTCACTACCTGAAGATTCTTGGGTGGGGTGGCTTACATTTCTTTTAGTCATCTCTGGATTCAGTTTTCTTCTGCTTCTAAATTTATGGTCTCTGATATGCTGTTCCTTTTTTGCACTTGGCATCTCATGGCATCTTTCCATTCCTATATTTTCCCAAAGTAATTTTTTCAGGTAAAAAATTATTGGTGGCAATAAATATTTATGGTCTCATCCCAGGTCTGTCTTCTAGGAACTTGGCAGTAGCTTAGTTGAGTGGTTTTTGACTCCAGGTCTCTCAAGAAGTTGCAGTCAAGATGGCAGCTGAGGCTGAAGTCATCTGAAGGCTTGACTGGGGCTGGAGAAGTTGCTTCCAAGATAATTCATTCATGTGGGTGCTGGTAGTTCAGCAAGAGGCCTCAGCTCTGAATCCATGGATTCCTCTTTCCTCATGTAGATAAATTCAACCTTTTTCTCTTCAGCTATTTAGATCTTGCCCTTAGTGTTTGACCTTTTCTCTGTCTCAAAGGGGCCTGGAAGGCTAACTGGATTAACATGTGGAAGGTTCAGACTTCTTAAGGGAAGAAGACCCTATGAAAATATAAATTTTTATATTTTGTGTGTGCACATCATAAGCTTAATTAACCCTGATAGTTTAATGATTAGACATAGGAGAAAGGAAAAGTATAGCTTTTAGAAAGATAAGGTTTTTATTTTTAGATTTAGAATTTTCATTCCTAGGTTTAATTTTCTAGAAAAATTGCAGTATCTAAGAACTTTCTGAAGATGGGATAGATAAAAAGACCTAAAACCCTTAAGGTTGGGGGGAAATTAGCAGTTTCGATATAATTTTAGTTGTAATGACAGTGTGAGTAGCTTTTTTTTTAAATAAATCTTAATCTTACAATAATGTGTATTCAGTAAACACTGATAATTTAAAATGTGTTTTGGTTCTCTTAAAGAGCTTTTTTTCCCCCCCAAAATATGCACTCATTTACATTAACTATTTTACTTTTTATAATTTTTTTGAGACATGAAGATTTTGCCTATAATTTTTATAGTTGTTGCAGAGAAAACAAATGCTTTAAGTATTTTAAAGATAAATTTTAATTGTGAGTCATTTATACACTTTAGAAACTCTTTAATGAAACTGGTATTCAGTATTTTATGATGATATTTAGTAAGTTTTAAGATGTACTTAAAAGGTTCTGTGAATGTAATATAAATAAATGTTAAGGTTTGCTTTTTATTTCCCTGGACGTGTTGCTATTTCTGCAGTCATTTGACTCTATGATTAATAGAAGAATTGGGAAGAATATTGCAAATGTGATTTCAAGGGTAGTTTATTTCAAGTAGATATTTAAAAAACAATGAACTTAGTACTTGAACTATGTGTACCCTTTGCTAGAGAGCTGAAAGTTAAATCAGCTGAAAATTCAGTAGGGAAAAATGAACTGGGTTATCCAAGTCTCAAAGGTACAAAGAAATAGAACATTCTTCTCCTATATACTGTCTCTGAACAGAAGTCAAGGAGATTATTTTACTTATGGTTTAATTTAAAGGGGCTTATTTACAGCATATATTTATATGATGGTTTGATATGGTTTATTTTTCTGCAGGACTCAATTACTGGAATTGTCAACTCGACCAATTTACGTGCACATTTCTCTTCCACTATGAGCAGACCAATTGTATTACACATTTGTCTGGCTTTCTGTAGCCTTCTACTTCTCAACTTTGCCATGCAATGCCTGGCTTTCCCCAACGTGGAAAGAAGGGAGATAGTACTTCTTCATGCAGAAAAAGGGCAGTCTGAGAGGCTAAACACAGATGACCTAGAAAATGACTCTGTTACTTCAAAGTACACTCCGGTCTCTGGAGATCCAATGATAGTGTTAGCCGGATCATCAACAATGTCTTTAAATAAAGTATTCCCTAGTAACAAAGAAACCCCTCCTGTAGGAGCTGGGCCCATGCAGGCTGATGGTTCTAACATTTACATTGCTACTGAGCCAGAAGTCCCAGCAAGGGAAGACGTGTTCGTTTCTAGCCAGCCAGAGAGAATGTCTCCCCAAAGCCGACCTTCCAAGGGCACGTTAACCAACCCTGTCACGCCAACTGCTTCTCTGAATATTGATGAGAGGGAGGAATCCTCCCGTGGTACCATCATTCAGCCCACTGTGGAAGGAACCACTGAGGCAACACAAGGTTTTCTGAGCTTTGTGGATGATCAGTTGTTTGCAACTGAAAGCCCGGAAGGACTTAGTCTGGGGCATTCACCTTTATCCCTTGTGAATACTAAAGAAATGCTAACCACCAGTCCAAGGACTGAGAAATTTGAAGCAAACCCAGAACATAAGACCACTTCTTTTCCTGGCTCTAAGCTCACAGCAGGCACTGAGTCCTCCCAGATGACAGCTGATAATACCCAGGCTACTGCCGCCACTAAGCCCCGGCTCCCAAGCTCGGAGTCCATCCTGAGTGTTGAACCAGAAGCTGACAGCCTGCTCGGAGCCCCAGCAGTCACGATGAGTGGCAGCACAGCTACTGCAGCTGCTCCTGTCGTAAGTGATGAGTGGGATGACACCAAATTAGACAGTGTAAGCCAGATAAAGACCCCAAAGCTTGGAGACAGTACAGAGATACAGGTGAGACTGGAAATATCTCAGACAACCCAAGCAGCCGATATCAGTCTGGAAGGCATGGAAGGGGGCGAAGCTTTGACAGAGGCTGCAGATGTGAGTCTGAAGCTGCCTGAAATGGAAACACACATGGAGACCACCCTGCCAATGGCACGTGGGGGTGAGAGAGCATCTGATCAGAGTTCCTTTACTCCCACAAGTCCAATGGGAGATACGAAAGTCTCTGTCACGAACCTGGTCCAGGATACTGCGGACTTTGTGGAATCCACCAAGGAGAACAGTGCCATGTTCTTAGAGACCACTGTTTCCATCTCCGAATATGAGTCTGAAGTGCATCAACCATTGGGAAATAGATTTAAAGGTAAAAGAAAGAAAAGTAAGCTTTGTTTAACTTGGAATGTTTCTGTTTGATTTTTTTTAATTGAGATATAATTGAAACATAGCATGGTATTAAGTTTTAGGTGGTTTATGTTTTTTTAAGTGATAATTTAGAAGTAAATTATCTAAGTTTTAAAGAAAAAAATAAATAGATAAAAATACATTTTGTATAAATGTATTTGTATAAAATACATCTTGTATAAATGTATTTGTATAAAATACATTCAGCTATAACACCTGTATGTAGACCAGTAGTGTTTAACGGAATAATTTGTCATCCCCCCACCCCCATAATTTGACTTACATACAGCATAAAGTGATCACCACAGTAAGTTTAGTGAACATCCATCATCTCATATAGATACAAAACTAAATAAATAGAAAAACTTTTTTTCCTTGTGATGAGAGTTTTCAGGATTTACTCTCTTAATTTTCATATATAACATATGGCAGTATTCACCGTATCTGTCATGTTGAACATCTCTAGTACTTATTTGTACCTTTTGATCACCTTCATCCAATTCCCCCTTCCACCACTCCCTGCCACAAATCTGATAATTTTTACCACAAATCTGATCTCTTTTTCTATGGGTGTTTGTTTTGTTTTTGAAGTATAACTGACTTACAATACTGTGTTAGTTCCTAGTGATTTGATATTTTGTACATTACAAAATGATCACCATGGTAAGTCTAGTTACCACTTGTCACCATACAAAGATGTTACATATATATTGACTGTATTCCCCACAATTTACATTTCATATCCTTGACTCATTTATTTTGCAACTGGAAGTTTGTACCTCTTAATCTCCATTACCTATTTCTGGAGACACTTTGGGTTGTCACAGCGGAGGGCATCTAGTAGGTAGAGGCCAAGATGCTGTGAACATCCTACAGAGCATAGCACAGCCCCCAGCAAAGGTTTATTGGAGCCAACGTGTCAGTGGCTCTGAGAAACCCTGATATAGATTAATATTTTTCAAACCTTTTATTATGAAAATGTATAAATATATATAAGAAAATGTGAAAAAGATAGCTATATGTTTAAATGGTATAATCAACAATGTCAGATACTTATTTACACATTGTTATAAAAAATACTCACATCCCTGATACTACCAAAAAGCCTTAGGTAAATATTTATTGCATAGTATTAACTATATAAGTTCTTTGACTTTGTTTTCCCAAAAAGAAACTCATCTAGAAACAAGGGGGAAAACCCCCCACAATACAGATAAATCCTCTCTGCTGGCTTGATTCTGTACTTTCTACTTCCTCTTGGCCTCTACATCTGTGAATGTTATGAGATGTCAATCCTTGCATTTGTTGGTGATAAATGATGTTTTTCTTTGATTGTGTGTGGTTGGTCAGACAACAGCATGGGGAAGGAAAAACTTAGTGTAATGGGCATATGCTCATTCCAAATTGTTTTGGAATATGTACAGATGTTACTTCAGCTAAGTAGTCTAATTAATGGAAAATATCAAATTAGTAACATGTTTTGTAAAGTGTTTTGGAGATTGAATTAAAATGATAAAAAATTGAATTTTACTTATCCAATTTATTTTTTTAAAGACTGTAAGATCTAGTATACTGGAAGTTTTCGTAGAAGCTTCCAAAAACTATTTTGTAAGTTGGTTTTTAAATTTCATTAGAAAAGTTTGGTCCAAATGACCAGGATGATATTAGATATGACCAAACAAGAAGTTTACTTCAGCTCTCCATAATACTTTAAGATATTCCTGGAGCATTAAATCACATAGTCCCAGATAATTTACTGCACAGTTGAATCCATGATTCTTATATACTAGATTTGCCTTAGCTTCTTTCTACTAAGGTAACTTAAAAAGAAAATAAATTTGACAATTATCTGATTTTTTAAAAAAATTATTGAATATGCTCCTTATTTAGTCATAATTGCCTCACTTATCTACAATATCTTGTAGGCAGCTTCTTTTTATTTCTAGCACATAGAACAATATACGGCACATAGTAGGTACTCAATAAGTATCTCTTTGTTGAATGAGTAAATGAAGATAGAGAACCATCCAGACTAGAATTATACAATCTGCCTGCCTGCCTTGTCCAAATTAATCAAAAAGCTTCTAAGTATTCTTGGTAGAGAGAGAGAGAGAGAGAGGGAATGTCAAATAATTACTTTCAATTTTTACTTTTTTGGTTGTTTCGTAGTATTAAAAATAATGTGAAAAATTGAGATTATTGACGACAGTAGTGAGAGAATAGTCAAAAAGTTTGTCTGCCAATTTCCTGGTGATTAGAAGTACTTTTCAGAAGTCAGCCACTCAAGTGCCAGTCATTTTAGGGCCCAGGGACTACTTAGCACATTCTCTTCTTAAGGGAACACAATGATTTCTTGGAGTGTTTGGGTATTATGAATTGATGAGGATCCTGGGGTGAGAGTCAGTCCTCGGATTCATCTGCTTCTTCAGCTGTTCACTTGGAGATCAGGTTTTAGGGGACTTCCCTGGTGGTCCAGTGGTTGAGATTCCATACTTCCACTGCAGGGGGCGTGGGTTTGATCCCTGGTTGGGGAACTAAGATCCCACATGCCGTGTGGCATGGCCAAAAAAAAAGATCAGGTTTTAAAAGTAATCTATAATAATAATTGTATATATTTTTTTCTATAGGAACTGGAAAGAATGAGAGATGTGGAGAAATTTTGAATGTAACTTTAAAAATTCCCATTACTATTTCTAGCTCTAACTGTCTTTAACAGCAATCTTTTATTTAAGTGCTATGCCCTTTTTATATTTCTTACTGTTTCATGAAACTGTGACCATAGAGTGAACATTTATTTTGACATATTTTTTCCTTAGAAGTGTTCATTATTCTTTCAAAAATGAGGGCAACATGGAGAATGCATACTGCTTTAAATGGTAAAACTATGTATTATCTTTTTACGGCAAATAGAGCATTGTCCTAGGTGCTGAAGATACTAGTATTATTTCAGAAAAAAAGAAAAAACTTAAATAGTGGCACAAAGAGCAAATATGAAGCACATGTAAAGTTGTCTTATAGCCAGGTATATCAGTCCTTCAAATATAAAAATCTCCAGTTCAAAGGAAAAGTAGCCTAAACTGATTGGGGACCAAGGAATGGAAATGCTTGTACTTAAAAAAAAAATGTACAAACATTATTTTAAAGCAAATAATTTCTGAGGAGAAATATTTTTAAGTAATAGGAAGAACAATGATGTTATTAATAAAAACTATGCAAAAACCTTTCAGCTGATTTTAAGAATGCTATTTTTTATTACATATGGTAATATGCTGAGTATCTAGAATTACTGTTTAAAAAGAGAGATGATAAAGTCTTCTAGAAATTATGTTTTCCTAGTGGCTCAGTATTTGAAATTTCCAACATAACCTCTCCCTAAGAAAGGGACAAATATTAACCCTTATAAATAGTCTATGATCTAAATAACTATAAATAGGCTTTAATAATGTATTTGGCGGGATTATAATGTTGTAAAGAAAGTGGACCTGCGATAGATGCATCCTACCCCACAGGCGTATTTCATTCTTTTTCATGTTGAAAAGCAAATGCAGATCTTCTACATAGGCCACTCTAAGTTGTTCCTTGGGCAATGGCAAGATTTCCTTTCTCATGGCTGAATAATGTCCTGTGTGTGTGTGTGTTTGTGTGTGTGTATCTCGTCTTGTTTATCCATTCATCTGTTGAGGGATAAGTGCAGTTAGCACAGTGGTTAAGAGGGCTAGCTGTGTAAACTCAGCCAGGTTCCTTAGCTTCCTTACACCTAAGTCATTTGTAAAATGAGGTAATACTAGCTGACATTTATTGAATACTTACCAAGCACTGGGTGTGTACTAAGTGTTTTACATGTGTTATCTAATTTAATTTTGGTAAAAACTCTATGGGGTAGACCCTATTATTATTTCCACTTTACAACTTAAGGAAGCTCAAGGTCCAGAAATGTTAAGTAATTCATTCAGAGTCACACAGATAGAAGATGGCTGAATCTGAATTGATACTCAGGCAAATTGGCTCTGGAGCCTGTGTTCTTGGCCACTATGATATATGGCTTCCATGGAATGATATTAATACCTCCCTCCCCTTACATATGGAAGGGTAAGATAATGCTTATCATGTGCTTAGCAGTATGTGTGTATGGTACATAATAGAAACTCAGTAAACATTAGTTATTGTAACTAGTATTCCTTTAATTCAAAATGCCAACTTCCTGTTCCCTTCAGGAATGCACATGTGAATATTAATATATATAAATGCTTCTGAGAATTTTTGAACTTAGTTCTGTATGTTTCCAAATAAACTGATTATGTTGATATTCGTAAAGGGAAACTTAACTGTTGATTTCTTGTTTTAAATTTTATTTTATGTGTTTTGTATTATTGTCTACTTTGATTTACTGGCAGTTCATTTCTGAGCCATCCCTCTGCCTTCTCATTCCCTGAAATGACAGTCTGCTTTTCTTTAAATTATTATAGAGACTTTTTCAGGTATAGGGATTTAGTCTATTTAAAAGTGTTGTTTCTTCCCTTTTTAAGACATCATCACTCAAGAGATGACAACAGCTGTTCAGGCAGCAGAAGCTGCTGTATCTTTGCTGGCACAGGATCAGCAGGTCTCTCCCCTCGAGGTCACCGGAGGCGACGAGACGGAGGGAGGGAGGGAGTTGCTTTCTGCCACTGCCGATGCCCCTCGCGTTACTCAGCTGTCCAGAAGATGGGAGCCTCTGGCCACTGTGGTTTCAATGACACCCATCCCTGTGTCTTTCGAAGTTACTCCTGCTGTGGAAGGTCTGTAACAGAGGGAACTGAACTCAGTGTTTTGGGGGTGGATCTTTTCTGAGTTGATAAGGACTAGAATGAGTGAGGCAAATGGCCTGGGGATGAAACTAGCAAGGACCTGGGGTGAAACCAGCAAGAACCTGGGGAATGAAACCAGAAAAGACTTCGGTTTGTATCCCAGCATTGGCCCTCACTAGTATTGCGGCTTCAAGAAAGTTTCTTAATGTCTCCAAGCCTTGGTTTGTTTATCTTTAAATAAATAATGCCTACCTGTCTTATAGGTTATTTTCAGGGTTTTAACAGTGTATTCAGAGAACTTTTTATTAATGTATAAGAGACCCTCAGAAGCTCTGAGATCTTAGGGACAGTGAAGTTTTTGAATCTGAGTGATCATCAGAATCACCTGAGCATTACAAAAATTACTATTATAATTATTTAGTTATTATTTTTGGGCTTCCTGTCTGTTTCATCAGTGGCCTAAGTATTGGATTGGCAAAAAAATTCGTTTGGGTTTTTCCATAACATCGTATAAAAACCCGAGCAAACTTTTTGGCCACCTCAGTAAATCCTACTTTTGTTTATTACCTGAGTTATCTTTGACAATGTAATAAATACCTTCTAATCCTGCATGCCTGCCTCTCCCCACAAAACCTCTAGGATCTTGTCAGTAACCTACAGGTAACCCCGTGATGCTTCCTGTCTAAACCCCTTCCTCCTCTGTTAACCATTAACCTGGATCTTCATTTCCTTGGCTTCCTTTTCATTTCATTGTGTCTGGATGTACTCCTAATATTATACGTTTAAAAGTTTTAGTTTTTGTACTTTATAAAAACAGTATTGTGCTGTTTTTATCAAAAGGATAGCCTTTTGGGGACTAACTTTGTTTTCTACTTGCTGTTCTATAGCTACTATTTATTTACTGTGGTTCTTTTGGTTTGACTGCTTATAATATTGCGCTATGAAAATATATCACAGTTTATTTACCCCATCTTCATCTAGTCTTTTCTAGTGATTTGCATTTGGGTTGTTTGCAGGTTTGGCTATTTTGAACACGGCTGGCATGAATATTCTTTTATATACTCTCCATTGCATGTATGTAGGAGATTCTCCTGGGTGTATATTTAGGAATAGGGCATATGAATATTTGACTTTAGGAAGCAATGCCTCACTGCTTTCCAAAATGATTGCTTCCATTTATACTGCCAACAGCAATGTATATGATAATCTGTGGACCCATATCCTGGAAGCTTTCACAAATGGTTTCTCAGGCTTCATCACCAAGGAGGTTCTGTTTCAGTTAAGTTGGGGTATGTAGAAAGCATGAAAATCAACATTTCAAAATTACCTCGAAAGATTATGATGATCAACCAGGCTTGGAAAAATGCTGCTATTCTAGAGCCTCTAGGTTTGGGGATACCTGGGGCTAATTTGACTGCTTTAAATTGAGCATATTCCAGACACAGATCTAAACTTTTACTCTTTGACTTGACTTTTGAAAGTTATCTTCTCATGCTAACTCACTTCAGTTGTGTCCAACTCTCTGTGACCCCGAGGACTGTAGCCCGCCAGGCTCCTCTGTCCTTATGATTCTCCAGGCAAGAATACTGGAGTGGGTTGCCATGCTCTCCTTCAGGGAATCTTCCCAACCCAGGGATTGAACGTATGTCTTATGTCTTCTGCATAGGCAGGCAGGTTCTTTACATCACCAAAGTCATCTTTGGAGTATATTTAAATAAATTTTGTTAAATTTTTCATCTATAGTAATAGATTATATTGTTGTTGTTTAGTCGCTAAGTTGTGTCCAGCTCATTTGGGACCCTATGGGCTGTAGCCTACCAGGCTTCTCTGTGCATAGGATTTCCCAGGCAAGAATACTGGAGTGGGTTACCCTTTTCTCTGCAGGGGATCTTCCCGACCCAAAGATCAAACCCGCATCTCCTGCTTGGCAGATGAATTCTTTACCACTAAGCCACCAGGGAAGCCCCAATAGGTTACATAAAGTCCTACAAAATCCATAATATTGTCAATAGAATAAATGGGAGATTAAAATTTGAAACTGGAGTTCTGATTTGAGGTAGTGTATTTTCCTGGAAGAGAAGTATTTGCCTTGGGTAGCTGAATCGATGCATTGTGGGAGATGGAACTGGTCTAAGTGCCAGATCTACTGTATATGAGATACTGGTTTCATTAGTCATTTCTTGCTAAAAAGTAAAAGCATATATTTAAATATATACATTTCTCATTCGGGTCATCTTTGGTCAAGTCATATCTCTTGTGTTTGGCAGACCTAATGGACACAGTCACAGGGCCGAATGAGGAGTTGTTCACGCCAATTTTGGGTTCTCCAGTGACACCCCCTGGAATAACGGAGGAAGCCCCCAGCACTTCCCCAGCACTTGCTGATCCTGAGGTGTCTTCTGAAAGAAGAACTGCGGCTTCATCCTTTAGCTATGTTAACACAGCTGCCTCCTATGGCCTGGACCAACTTGAATCTGAAGGTATCCATGCTTTGAAGGGGATCTTTTCTAGGACAGATACAGTGAGTCACTGAGCAAATGTTGTTTTTGAGAAAAGATCAAGGAGAAGTGTATTGAGTCTGTAGTGTCGATGAGGGGTCAGTAGACTGTGGCCCAGCCAGCCAGGCTGACATCGATTTTTGTATGACAAGCTCAGACTGATCTTTACGTTTTCAAATGATTGGGAAAAAAAATCAAAAGAAGAATAGTATTTCGTGAGATGTGAAAGTTTTTATAAAATTGAAATTTCAGTGCTCCTAATTATAGCTGTATTGGAATGCAGCCACATTTGTTCATTTGTGTGTTGTCTGTGCTTATTTATGTGCCAGCGTGGCAGAGCTGAGCAGTAGTGACAGAGACTAACTGCCCACAAAACCCAAAATATTTATGGGATGGCCCTTGCCTGAAAAAACTCACTGACCCCTGCTCTCCATCAGTAACTCTCAATTATGGTTGAACGTTAGAATCACCTTGGGGAGTTTTTAAAGGATTCTAATACCCGAGTCCTTCTCCCAGTGATTCTGATTCACTTGGGATGAGATCTGGCATTAGCATTCCCAAGAGTTTCTTGAGATGATTTCTGTGTGCAGGCTGAGTTGAAAACTTGGTTTAAATGGTAAACTTGAGTTTCCCCACTGGATTTTCTTGGGTGAAAATTTTAATGTGGATTGTATTTTTGTAACAGTGCCTCTGGTGGTTAATGCTGGGTCATTTTCCCTTAATTATATCTCTGGGTTAGATGTTCCACTTTTTGGAGATGGGCAGTCTTCTCACCTCTTAAGGCTGAGAAATTCATGCCAAATTTTACTTTGCAAGACATTGGCTTTGAGCATGAAAAAGATGCTTGGGGTACAGCTGCACATCCACAAATGAGAAAATGGAGATATAATGAAAGGTCATTTAATTAATCAGCACTTCGGCAGGTGAACAGCTCCTGGCTAGATTGAAAAATGCCCAGTGATTTGTAAACTAATCTTGGAGATAGGTAAGCTCTTGGGCACTAAATTAACCATGGGTTTGAAGCATTGAAGACATAGGGTGTGCTGTTATTTTATATTTTTTCTACTCTGTAACAGGGAAGGTGGTTCAGCCAGGTTTTCAGCAGGCTCTATTGCAGACTTTCAGAGTAATACTGGTAGTTTTCTGGCAGAGAAACGTGACATTTTAGGAGGAATGTGAATTCCATGGAGTGCTGGTTTAAGAAATGGATCAAAGCAAGCTCAGAGGCTAACAGCTCTTGCTCTCCACATTAAGATAAAAACTTGGAATGTAGACTCATATTAGCTGTCTGCCCTCCTTGATACCATCTGGAAAGACCAGGTTTCCCCAAATTAACCAGAGTTGCAGATGACAGCTTTCCCGGCAGGGCTCATTGAATCAGAGGAAAAAAATTGGATTTGTGAATAATCCATACTTATGAAACTGCAATAATTTTCTAAATTTAGTTGATGATGGAAGTTGTATTGAGATGTGTGAGAATTTTCTTAACTTGCCTAAAATGTCCTGGAGTTTTAGTGCTTTTCTTCTACACGATTCAGTTTCAGCTTCTTTTTGAGAATATATTTTGTCAGTTTTGATCTAAGCTATGATCCTTGTCAAGGCTTTGAAAGACGTTTTTGGTTTAAAAATATTCTTTCTGCTACGTTGTTGGGCTTAAGACAAGATTTTGAATGAGCACACCTTTTCTCCTAAGTAAAAGGGAATGCAGTTTTTGTATTTAATTAGTATGTGTTAATAATGCCATTAGTTTTATGCTGGTCTATCAAACCCTCTGAAAGCAGAAGTGACTATACTTATTTAAATTGATAAATCAATAGATGCCTAGAGGCCTCCATTTTCAATGCATGTTTTTCCACCTTGTCCAGGAATATAAGTGCAGCTTGAGGCTCTGCCTGGGTGAAGCATTTTAATTTTTCCATAGCAATGGACCCAGGGGAGGATAGTTTATTTTTACCTAGAACAGGATCATGTGAGGTAAAGTTGTCTACCTTTCAAATTTGAATCTCTGTGATGTGTTGATAAATGACAGACAATTCTCCAGTTTAAGGTGTGTGTTTATTTAATTATGTTATTAAAAACTCTCTATATACTTATCTGAATGCTTTCCTTCCCACATGGGGACAAGAACACTTCTCCAGAGAATGGGGTATTTATTTCAGAGAGATACAACGAGAAACCTGCCCCTTTAGACACCATACACCCAAGAGGCAAAAAATCCCAAAGAACGTCCTGGATGTTTACCCTTTAAGGGAGAGTCATGGCCCAGATGAACCCAAAAGTTGTTTCTGCTTGGTACCCTGTCTTGTCTTTTCCTTTATATCACTACAACATGATGACTAAGGGTGTCTATCGTTTTCTAGGACCGCTGTAACAGAGTACCTCAAACGGGGTGATTGAAACAATAGACATTGTTCTTTTGTGGTTTTGGAGCCTCGAAGCCTGAAATCAAGGTGTAGGCAGGGCTGTGCTCCCTCCAAAGCCTCTGGATGGGGATCATCCTTGCCTCTTCCAGCTTCTGGTCCTTCAGGCATTCCTTGGCTTATGGCAGCAGGTCTACAGCTTCTGCCTCCTCCTTCACATCTCTCTCCTCTGTGTTTCTGTGGCCAAATTTCCCTTGTCTTAATAAGGACATCAGCCATTGGGTTAAGACTCACCCTGCTAAGTACATCTTAACTTGATTATATCTGCTGGTACACTATTTGCAAATAAGATCATATTTGCAAGTGTTTGGATTAGGACTTAAACATATATTTGCACCAGTGGAGTAGAGGTGGGTGCACAATTCAACTTGTAATAGGAGGTCTGCTTCTGAGGAGTTTTCCAGTTGGCTCTGAAGGCAGAACACCCCCTTGAGAGGTATGCACTGGTAGAGTGGGAAAGTTTTGGTGTGTTTTACATTTCTCAAGCATTGAAGAAAGCCTGCTTCTATAAGTGCATACTGCCCCGTGCCTATTTCAATGAGTCTTTTACCTTGTCAGCAAAAATGCAGTTTGATTTTTGAAGGGTAATGGTTTATCTTTACTTCTCTGTATTTTTTAAGGGAATAAATGCTTTCAGGATGATTAAAAAGTGCATTATACTTATCTCAGGCATAATTCTACTAGGGCTGTATTCAGCATCTTTGGAATATAAACATGACAAAGTGTTGTCACTTTTAATTCAAAATTGGATAATAGCAAAGCTTCCCAGGTGGTGCTAGTGGTAAAGAATCTTGCTTGCTAATGCAGGAGACTTAAGAGAAGCAGATTCGGTCCCTGGGTCAGGAAGATCCCCTGGAGGAGCATATGACAACTAACTGTAGTATTCTTGCCTGGATAATCCCACAGACAGAGGAGCCTGGAGGGCTATAGTCCATAGGGTCGCAAAGAGCTGGACGTGACTCAAGCAACTCAGCATACACCGTGTATACACACACACACACACACACACACACACACACACACACGTATACATATATATATATATATGCACATATATATACATAAACTAATTTTTGAACACAATCTGTGTTTAGGTTGATAGCATTTTTTGGTTGAATATGAATGTCTTTCTCTGCTCCAAAATGGCAGCTTAAAATTTCTGATTGCTTATGAAAACCTACTTGGAATATTTTCATTTAGGTTAGCTGTTTTTAAAATATTTTGAGACTAGTATCAAATGAGGTAGAAATTTCAATATTCTTACCAGAAGAAATTCTACTTTATTTATTTTAGAAATCCAACTGACGATATCTAAACAAATCAAACTTGTTTGTTGTTGTTCAGTCACTTAGCTGTGTCCTACTCTTTGCAACCCCATGGACTGCAGCATGCAGGCCTCCCTGTTTTTCACTGTGTCCCGGAGTTTGCTCAGACTCATGTCCATTGAGTCAATGATGCCATCCAACCGCCTCATCCTCTGTTGCCCCCTTCAGTCCTCCTGCCCTCAATTTTTCCTAGCATCAGGGTCTTTCCTAGCTGACAATGAGTCGGCTCTTTGCATCAGGTGACCGAAGTATTGGCGCTTCAGCTTCAGCATCAGTCCTTCCACTGAATATTCAGGGTTGATTTCCTTTAGGATTGACTGGTTTGATCTTCCTGCTATCCACGGGACTCTCAAGAATCTTCACCAACACCACAGTTCAAAAGCATCAATTCTTTGATGCTCAGCCTTCTTCATGGTCCAACTCTCATAACTGTACATGACTACTGGAAAATTTATTTTGGCCTTTCCTATATTTCCACAGAAGATGGAAATTCACCTGTGCTGTAAAACTGTAACAATAGTTCTGTAGGGTGGAAGACTGTGGCTTTAATAGTTCGATACTGTTACTCATACCAGGTACTAGGTTTTAAGAACATGTGGGAAATAAGAGAACAAAAATGAAGGTTTCTCAGATGTTGTGATTAAGGTTTTGGTAGTCCTTCCTCACATCCCCAGCACTTCCTCCCATAATGTCTGGAAGCCAGTACCTGGGCTTTCCAGCCAGTGGGCAACGGGAACCTGCTTGGTGCTCCCAATGGTGCTGACCGGACAGACTTGGGAACAGGGTAACTCTCCCAAGATGAGCCTGTTAGTTTATGGCTTTTCTGCAAGAGAAGAAACACCAGCGTCTTTGATCTAGAGGATGTGAATTCTTGATTTGACTGGTCCTATTTACTGTCTTTCTATAGTTATAATAGACTGAGTATTGGGACTGTAAAATCCTATGCCCTTATTCCAGACAGTTCCCATTTCCTTATCTGTTTCAACATGCCTGTTTATTACAGAGTTTATAGAACAAACTCATAGTAATTGACGTGCTGGGGAATTATTCCCCCTTTTGTATGTATGATGCATGTTATATGCAAACATGTGACGTGCTACTTTTAAAAAAATACATGAAGAGGTTTTTAATTCTAGTTTCCAATAGGAAAACCATATTTAATTTTTTAATATCTTGATTAAAAAGTGAGACCAAATATATCATTTAACTTCAATTTTCTCTTTTCTGATAGCTTTTC